ACCGCGTTCAGACAATTGGCCATATTGATGGTCTGTCTATATTGCGGCCCCTGGCAAAAGCCAGAGCGGGGCTTCAAATATTAAAAAATTACGTCCCAAGAAGGACGTAAGGAATACTCATACTTACCTGTTGATATTTTGAAAAACAGAGAGAAAATTACACTCTCGCGTCCAACGGGTTTTACCGCTTCTTTGTACATTTTCCTGCATCAGTCTGAATATGTTTACCAGTGCGCTTCAAAAAACCTATTTCTGAGAAATATAAATTCCTGGAAAATGCTTAAGATCATTGAAACAGAGGAGCAAATATTATCTTGTAGTAATCTGGTTTTATATTACGTAAAAACTGTTTCTAAGCTACTAAGGTAAACAAGCTGTACGCGTTGGAACGCATAAATAACTGTTGTTAGCCAAACATAAAGTCGTAATCCTAATTGCCCGTTTCTGTCGGTGAAAGTCACACACAATATCCTTCATTGTCTCATTTAAAAACTAAAAACAAACGTCTCAGCAAAATATTGAAGCTTGCACACGTAACTGAAATACATAAGGCAGCGAGGATCGACTGGCCGAGCAGTTACAACGTCGGGATCTCGTGCAGGTGACGAGGGTTCGACCCCCGGTTTTTGAATGTTGAATTTAAAATCAACATCACAGCACTTGGGACACCCCCGTAAGCGCTCCGTCCCCATCTTCAGCAACATGCGAAGAGTTAAAATTCCGATGGTACCAGTAACTGTCTGATTGTATATCCGTCTAGCCTTTCCCCTTGAGTGTCGAACGTCGACCAGATCCCCTTGTAACTCCTCGCAGTGCCATTCTCCTCAGACCGTAAGGACCTATCTGTTCCTCGGCACTGTTCACTCGCTCCCAAAGAGCCCTAACAAAATCCAGCATCGATTCCCGGTAAGGTGATGGAGTTTTTCTGTCGAGGGCAATATTAAACCTCCGCACCAGCAAGGAGATCAAAATTAGAATTTTGAGAGCATGCATCTTCCCTGTGGCTACATACGGATGTGAGTCGTGGACTATCTCTCAGTCCTTAAGAAAGAGAATAGGAGCTTTTGAGCTGAAATGTTATAGAAAGATTTTCAGAATATCTTGGACACAAAAGATGAGAAATATTGACATCTTAAAAGATCTGAACATCAAGAAAGATTGGCTTTCAGGCAGACTGTGATGATAGCGACGTTCTGCAAAGGACCTGCTACATGCTGATGATGAACCTGTTATGTCCGCGAAGACAGCACTAACCAACGGCCATAAATCATCAGTCCTGAGACTTCCTGTCTACACCGCCCTAAAACAAATGGTAGGTACAGACAGTTTTTGGTAGTCAGTTGCGAAAGTCGTGGCACACGCACATGAAATACATATGGCTCGGATGTGCCAACACTAACGTTTTCACAATAGAAGTGCAGTTCACGTTTGATGCCAGCAGTCACCTGCGAAAGTTAACATTATACTCAATACTTCATAAGTACGGGATACTTCGAACGTAATCGGCAACCCACCATTTGTATGTGGTTCACAGTGCAAGGCCGTCGCGGGCACAACAGGAAAAAAAAAACATTTAACATGAAATCCACAGTCTACAGTGCAGGGTCATTCAACTAAGCAGACTCAGGGGTCAGCTTTTTGAAAATGGGGATCGTCACGGGCCAACATTTTGAAAATGAAGATCGTCATGGGCTTCTGGCAGTTAAAACCAGAAGTTTATGCAAGCTGGTTGCACCACAGCCGGTAATATTAAGGTTAGTTGCGTATCCTTTACAGGACGTTGCAGAACCAACCCTAACAGCCCCTGGCTGTTGTGTGGTTTCTCTAGGCAATTTACGTCCAGTAGTTTGCCATTGCTTCCTGGACGGTCGGCTTTCTTGATACCACTGTCGAAACCAACGCAATGCGCATTGCCCGCAGCTGGGATCGAACCTGACATCCCAGCATTACGAAGCGAAGCGTTCGCATCGACTTAGCCACAGAGCCGACAGCCGGTAATATAGTGGGGTTTTTTTTTTTTGGGGGGGGGGGGGGGGTAAAAAAATACATCTTAACCTGCACAGTTCGTGGCAGCTGTAATAGCCATGCCGCTCTAAATCCTTGGACTCAAGATCTTGTGTCATACATCGCCTCGAGAAGTGGTACTAATGCAGTAAAGACAGTTTTGAATAACGACAACAACAAATACAGGAGTAACAGTAGGTTTCCGAAAGGTGAAAATAAAATGAATAAAAAGACAATAAACAACAAGTATGACTGGCCAGCTTTACGGACACAATCACGAGTGACAAAATTAACGTTTCGTTTTGCTAAAAGGTTACTCGCTGCTCCCGGGAAATTCCGCACTGAACTGTATCACTATTTGTTTCCTGGAAGATTACGTTATAGAGAATATCTAATGGGAAAGCTTACATCTTACCTGGAAGGTATAATGACACATTTCAGAATGAGCTAGAATATGGCGGTCTTGAGGCGCAAGTATCTCAGATCCGCTATAAACAAACACAGTATTACATCAGTCTTACGCCGAAGGAAGAATGGAGACGGAGATAAAGAAAATGATGAAGGTAGAGACATAAAAAAAAATTAAACACAGAATGTCGTGTTTAGAAACAAAAGTCTTAAATTGTTTTCTAACTTTACAAGTCTTTTTGTCAACTAGTTTAAGTGGCCATGTTTCTTGAGAACTAGAATTTCTAATACAATGCTGGTGTCCTGGGAAGTAAAGGTGGCTAGTGTGAAGTTGACCAAATAATACACCAACCACCGATTGATCTATAAAATATAGATCTAGCCCTATGTGCCCAAAATGTCCGAAGGCTTGGAAAAGGGACTTTAACCTATTTGCTTTTTATACCTTATTGGTTGAGACGTTGTGTTGGTGAGGTGAGAATGTCTCTTACTTGTCGGGCTAGTTCTTTCGGGTGTCGCGTCTTTTTGTGCCACCAACCAATTACATTTGTTTTGAATCTTATTCGTTGGTCGTTAGTCGAGGTTTCAAATACACTGCAGACGGGTCTCTCCAAAACTGTACCATTGACTGAGTGATGGTTTTTCCAACCAGGACAGCGGGGCTATGTGGTCTCGAGGCATGGCGTCCGACTCTGGTGCAAGAAGGTCCCGTGTTCAGGCCCCGGTGAAGGCTTAATTTCTTCACGTGGACTTCTAGTAATTTCCCCTGGTCTCTGTGTCGTTAGATACGCCCGTGTATTGTTGGCAGTTGGAAATCAACAAGAGTAGCCTATTGGCGCTGCCCGGGCAAAATTTGGAGTTAAAAATATACCCAAAGTATTTCAGGATCCTCGCCGGTGCTAGAGAATTAGTGCACTGCGCTGAGATTCTTCTGACTTGGGCTTGAGTCAGAAGTAGAACGGAGCACTTATGGGTTACCACTTGTGCCATGATGTTGATCCATCTTCTAAAACCTAAAACACACCAGAACGACACAGCGAGCGATAAACACCCGGTGATAAAAAGTGCCACCATTCGTTTGAGGATCACCCGTGGGCAGGGTCCCAGAAACCCCGTTCAACCTATAGGTTGGGTTATACTGGGTCCCTCGGCAACAGCCAGGATGGGACTTAAAAATAACGAAACATTTCGTCCTTCACAAGCACGGATCAATCATGAACGGCACCGTGATTTTTGATTAACGTTCAACCCCACCAGGACATCACACCGAGGGATAAACACCGGTGACACAAAGTACCACCATTCGGATTAGGATCACCCTGGGACATGGTCTCAGAAACGCTATTCGGAGTTGGACCGGTCCTGTGATAGTGGAAATCACACAAAATGTCCCCAATTTTCCTATCTGAAAACTTATCAGTCCCTAAAAAGTTGCATACGCAAAAATAAATTAAAAAAATTACCTAAGTCATCTGTCAGGTGTGCTAAAGTGGTTTACAATTTTATCCGAATCCCAATTATGACAGAATTGCCGGAAAAAAAGGAAAAAGGTTAAGGAGTGTTTGGGTGCTGGCTAAGCTCTCTTACAACTATTTTTGTGAAGGACCTCAGCGTGTCTAAACACCCAGGTTTTAAGATTGCATAAAATATCCTTCACTGTGTAAAATGCTGTCTGTGCTTGATTTATTTTACATTTTTCTTCTTAAATACATCTTCCGTCTGATATTATCAGGGTACCCAAGTATTAAACATATCAACTGATTTGTGGTTTGTCCCACTAACTTTGATGTTGCATTTTAGAGGCTCAGTTTTTTTTTTTTTTTGAAATTACCATTACTTCCTTTTTCTGCTGTTGAAACTAAAATGTTATTTTATAGCATCTTTATTTGCTATGACAAAAATTAGTCAAGAATCCTCTCTCATTGCCTTTGCCTATCTCTAGTTCTATCATTCATTATTCCAGCTCTTACAACAGGCTAAAGATTCACTTTTATCACAAAATGGCCCCCCAATTTAATGTTTGCCATAAACTATTTTCACCCCTTTCATACTTTGGTCAGAGCTGAGTTATGCATGCCCTTTTCCCCTTCGTGTTGCTACCTGAAAGGTTGACACCCTGCGACTACAAAATCTCAATCTGGATGGCAAACCAGCGGGGCAAATCCCAAACAGCCCCTTCAACTTAAGAAAAAGTTTTAGCCGAGGCAATCGTAACGGATGCACAATACTGCTGTAACCTGATGCGGGTTGAATGCTGAATTTGGAATCAAAGCCACAGCACTCAGGAACTCCCATAAGCGCTCTGTCCTCAATTTCAGCAGCAAGCGAAAAGTTCCAATTGTGATGTCACCAGTAACTGAATGTAAATCTGTCTTGCCTTTCCCTTGAGCGTCGGCAAATCCCCTGGCAACTCTTCGCAGCGCCAATCTCCTCAGACCGTAATGGTTTATCTGTGACTCCGCACTGTCCATTCGCTCGGGGGAGAACCCTTAGAACATATAGCTTGATTGTACTATGAACTGAATCTACTCCAGCTGCATTTCCCCTTAATAATTTCGTGAAACATCACCTTTACATATGCCATCCAAATGAGCTTCCTAAGCCACCACTCCGAGCAGCATTCACATTTGCTGTTCGTAAATTTTAACCAAGATTCATCGTAAGTTAATTTTTTTAAAATAAAACTAAACTCAATCCAATATATTATTGAATATAATTAATAAATAATTACTGTAATTTGTTACAAGATAATTTTTGTAATCTTTCCAGATTTACCTATTGAGTGTTTCTGAGTCCAAGACTCGAAATCACATCAATAATTGAATTGCCAATTAAATTATTATAATGTGTCAATAAATTGAAATGCCTCCCCTGTATAATGATGTTGCTGGCGACTAGTATTATTACTAGTAGTAAGGCTAAGAGAATCTAAGAACAACACTCACACTGACTGAGACAATACATGTAACAATGCATGTCGTGAGAGGCGAACAAGGACTACTGCGACTAGTACATTTCGGTGTGACAGCAGCAAAATCCAAGAAACTAATATAAACATGAAAACAAATAACAAATAACAGCCAGCCAAGGTGAATGGAGTCCGCAATGTTAGTTAATCTTCTTTCACTTAGGATAATCTACAGAAGTAATATCAGTGGAAAATCTGCAGATTTCAGTTATGGTTATTTACACTTGGAATCTTTGAACTGTATGCAATTGTGGACTCAGCTCTGACCATAATGTGATAAAGGGTCGAAGATATGTTAACGCAAATAATCAGGACGAGATAACCACAAATTTGTGGGCCATTGTTTGATACCAATGAATCTTTAGCCAGTTGTAAGAGCTGGAAAAACAATTATTAGAAACAGAGGTAGGCAAAGGCAATGAGAGAAGATTCTTGACTCATGTCTGTCATGGCACATAAGGATGTCAGAAAAATGAAATATTACAGACTACAAGCTGTGGAAACTGCACACGCCAGCTGGGAAACCACTTGACGATAAATAACCATGTTCACAAAGAACTATCTGCAGAATCAGCACTGGGAATGTTCAAACTCTGTTTACCCCATTTTATACAGGAAAATCTACACAGTTCAATTACTGTTAACCCTAGGATTGTTTAAACAATATACACATCATTTCACACAGTTAAATCTGCAGAATTAGCACTTGGAATGTTTGAATTGTATTTACCCCTTTTCACAGAGGAACATCTATAGCATTCAGTTAGCACTTGAAATGTTTGAATTATGTTTACCTCTTTTCAAATAGAAAAATCTACAGAATTAGCTCCAGGAATGTTTGTACTACATTTACCCCCTTTTCACATAGGAATATCTATAGAATTCATTTAGCGTCTTCAATGTTTGAGCTGTGTTCACCTTGTTTCCAATAGAAAATCTACAGAATTAGTACCAGTAATATTTGTACTGCGTTTTCTTAGTATGGGTTCTGGAGTCTCCTAGTAGGGAAGACAGGAATAGAAACACTGCCTACCTAAAAGCAGGTCATAAGATTAAACTAATTGGGAGTTTCCTTTGAAGACAGAGTGTATCTGCCTGTGAGGTAAGGAACCAGCAGTCTGCATACAAATGAATTAGATCTGTTAAAAGGATGTGCACACATCACTGATCGAACAGGACTGGAGTCGAGAAGTGGAGAAACAAGCAGAACTTTCTGCCGGAGTTAAACCAGTGAACGTGAACCCACATGATGAAACATTGTTGAATTAAGAATTCTCCCCCTCGGTGCGACTCGTGTACTACTTTCAAAAACCACGAGAATGTTTTCTTTTAAATAACCCGTCCTACGGTAGAAATCAAACTCTAGTATTTAAACGTGATGACATTGTTAAAGTCATTCACCAACCTGTATGCCACAGAACAATATCTGGATTTAACATTTCATATTGTTTGATTACAGTTCGCTTCAGACAGGTTCAAAGACAGGATTCAAACTCTATCCTTTGAACTCAGTGGACAATTTGGAATTCACACATGAAAATAATGGTAATTAAATGAGTTTTATTTAATTAAATACAATGCACAGATGTGTCATTTATTTTAGAATTATTGAGGTCATTGAAATAGTGAACAAATTAAGGGATAATTTCTTCTTGTTCTCTTTTCTCTGCCTTTCAGTGTCAGGTTTTGAAAAGGCCCCTGGTGTGAGCCTTGGTATGTGCTATGTAGAGGCTGGTATTTATGGTCTCTGATATTCCATCTATCCTTCGCTTGCATGGTCAGCCTCTAGTTATGCTTCCATTTTGTCCTTGAGAAAGGGCTCCTTACGGTGCACTCTGTGGTGGTAGTCTTGACATGTGTAAGATCTATTTGTCAGTTTTCTCTTGCTGTCACAACTTGTTTCCTGTTATAGTCATTTCTGATTCTGCCTCTTCTAATTACATTTTGGATTCATCACCAGCATTTAATTTCTGTTCTTTCAGTTTTTTTCTTTTTGTTCTTAATGTCCACGTTTTGGCATTGGTAACACCATATTGGTAAAAGTGCTCTTTTGGTCTGAACCATTTGATCTGTTCTCTTGTCTCTTAATGTAGTATAGTACTGGTTCGTCCCAACTTGTTTTCTGAGATCATAATTTCTGACCCTGTCTCTTCTAGATACATTTTGGATTCGTCCTAGACATTTCATTTCTGTTGTTTAAAATTTTTCCCTTTTGTTGTTAATGTCCACATTGGGTAATGGCAACACAATGTTGGTAAAAATCTGTATTGAACAGCGCTCCTTTGGTGCCAGTGATTACTCATTTGTCCTGCAATTTTGGTGACATCTTCTCATGCATATTAGCAGGACTTTTTACATGAAAAAATAAGATGCGGTATCAGCCACTTCTGTCTAATAAAAGATGCCCCTACGTACCACATAGTATCTGTTACAGTAGTGCTAGAAAAAGGTGCTGGTACAGCATACTGCAAAAAAACGCACAAAAAACACACACACGCCCTGCATTGAGGCGTATGGTGCTGGATCCATAGTTGTATAGTCAGCACTCATTGGGTGATGGGGTCAACTTTATGCTGGTTGCCTTTACTTATCTTTACTTACTGATATTTTAGGCCAACAAGACCCGGTGGGATTTTTATTTCTAAAATTTCATCCCAAGTGGAAATGAGCCCAATCTCAGGTCAGCAGGAATGTGTCTAGCCACTGCACTACTGCGGCGGCTGCCTCATTGGGTTCTTCCTCATTTATTCACTCACGACTCCCCTGGAGGGGGGGGGGGGAATTTGGGATCCACATTGGGGGGTAAAGAATAGACACTGCCTCCCCCCCCCTCCCCTCCCCAATACACATGTAAAAAGCGACAAATTAGTGGTGTTCCCTTCAGAGTTGGTGTGTATCTACCTGCGAGGCGAGGAACCAACAGTAAGCCTGATTTGTAAAACAGATGGATGTGCACCCAAAGGTCAAGTGCTGGAAAAGACCAAAGATTGATTCACAATTTGGGATTCACTGCCATACATCAGAACATGCTTCAGTAGTTTCACATAAAACATTTCAATGCTCTCTACTTATCAGGAGCCGCTCTGATGTAGTGGCTAGATGCTTACCTGCAGATCTGAAAGTCATGGGTTCAAATCTGCAATCTTCAGCACTATGTTCTAAAACATATAAACTGTAAACTTTTTCAGTAACAGCTGTCTGATATCAAAAGAGATTTTCTCCCTGTATGGGTTCCAGGGGTCCTCGTTTGTGGGAGGTGGGAAGAGACTTATTGCCTCTTAACAAGCATGTTATAAAAGCAACTAATTAGAGATGTTTCCTTCGAAGTTGAAGTGCATCTGCTTGAAAGGCAATGGACCAACCGTCTGCATACAAACAAGTCAGATCTGCAAAATGGATGTGCACATAAAACTCAAGGTCTGTAATAGGACTGAAGTCCAAAAAATGGTAGAACAAGCAAAACTTCTCGTCCTCCTAATAAGCTTGTAAAAAACAAAAACAAAGACTAATTAGGAGTTGGCGGAAATTAGATTTGTTAAATCAGAAAGGCTTCGATCTTCTTGAAGTACATGTCGTGTGGCGTTGGTAGTCATGTCTATCCACAACCTTCTGTCTCGTGTACTTTCACTAAACTCTGACACAGATGATCCTCCATGCCATGATGTCATGATGTCAAACTGTTCAGCATCTTTTCTCTCAGCCACCCTGTGCCTCTCCTCCCTTCAAATTTTCCTGCTGTCACAATCTACTTCAGGCTTAGATGCTGCCTTTTTAAGATTGAATGCAGAAGAAGAAGAGAATTAAGTAACTCCTATTGAGACTAGAGTTATGAGGTTTTATTTTGTTTCTGCATTCTACAGAAAGGCCTAATATTCATCTGGTTGAACGGCTTTTTGCCAGTAGCCTGGTGGCTCTAGTGAGCATTGATCATCCACGCAAGCTGGATGTGTGTCATTTCAAGAAAGGCTCTGAGATTTGCAATTATTCATACTCAAATGCTATATTGGCTGTTAAACTGAACAGAATGGTAATTTAGGATTATTAAGTTAAATGTTAATTTTATATGATTTATTGGATGATTCTGTTTGTTTTTTTAAATTGTGTTTTTGTGATAACTGTATTTAAAAAAAATGTATTAAACATTTTGATACATTTAACATGGAAACGACTGTTTAAGGTACTTGATTTTAATCACGTATAAAAGTTAAAGCAATCATTTCCATTTACGGCTTTCCTATTTCAAATGTTATTTTATTTTATTATAAGGGATCCCATTATGTTGCTTTGTATGAGAGAATGAGAAGTTTGATACATTAGCAAAATGAGGCATTGGGATACACAACCAGATATTCCAAGTACTTACTTCACATACAAAATGTAATTAAAACACACAGAAAGTCACCTATTCAGCAAGAGGATGGCTGTTATCTGTTGGACAGGTTGCCATTTTAAAATTCAGAACAAGATACAGTAGAAATCAACACAATACTTGTGTGGTCGGCCGCTACAAGCTGCGGGATCTACTGAGTGGATCCGAGCATTTATGGACTGTGTGGTTCATTGTGCGGGAGCCGCTGTGGTCTAGCGGCTAGACGCTCTCCTGTGGATCAGAAGGTCGTGGGTCGAGTTCCTGACCTTGGCTTCCAGGTTGACACAGCCTTGGGTGGGTACCAGGTGCAGTCCTGGGAAGTAAAGGCGGCTGGCATAATGCTGACCACATCACCCACCAAGTACCGTTTGGTCTCTACAATATAGATCTAGTCCTATATTTCCCAAAACACCTCAGTGGTGTGGAAGAGGGTCCTTTACTTTACTTTATGGTTCAGTGTGCAATAAATATCATCTGTCAACTAACTGACTCACTTGTGATATGTACCCAAATCTAAAGATATGCTATATCCATATGTTATAGACCAGTTGACTTAAGGTGATGTGGTCAAAATCATGCCAGCCACCTTTGCTTTCCAGGACAGTTCCTGGTACCCATTTGAAGCTGTTGACCTAGGAGCTAAAGGTCATTATATAAAATTCCGCCTCCATATAGGTTTCAACCCAAGAACTTTAGCCCAGCATGCAAACAATAAAAAGTTATTAAGATGCTGTAGGGTAACACCTAGAGTTCTCATCTTTCTGGCTCACACTCTGAATTTTTGCCTCCTATTTGGGACAGAAAAATTTACTGAATCTGACCTGGTATCCTGAAAAACTTGTATCCTTTACAGTCGTACTCCGAGTTTCCACACTGTATTTCATTTTTTACCATTTGTAAATATATTATCAAGAAATTATTGTGGTGGTTTCCCCTTGATATATAAAATATATAAAACACCTATACAGCATGTTAACAGTGGTGTGAAATATTTCAGAGGTTGGTGGTTTGTTTGGAAGAAAGTCTGTATATCCACAACATTCGAGACATGAAGGTTCTACACACCATCCGAGACACGCCTTCAAACCCCAAGGGCATATGTGCGCTGTCACCACACAATGAGCATGCTTACTTAGCTTACCCGGGCAGTGTTCAGGCTGGGGAAGTCCAGATATTTGATACTATCACTCTGGTGCGTATACTACAGTTAATAGACAACAGTATTTATATTAGACATTTCTTACCTTAACAAATATTTAATGTTGTTAACTCTTCACCCCACGAATGCTCATGAAAACAGGCTATGAACCCTTAGAAATTTCTGGAAAAAATCCTTTCAGAAAAACACTACTTTACACTGGTAACTAAAAAAAAAATGTTTTAACTGTGTTTATCTACATTTATGAAGTTTTTGTTTCAAAATGTATAAAAGATATATATGTGAAGTAATTGATAAACAAGAACAGAGGGACGCATTAATTTGAATTTGTCTCCCATAGCCAAAAACAAAAATGAATTTGGTGAATTTGGCTGTGACCTAGTGACCTCTATCCCTGAGGCTTATGAGAAAAGTTTAAGTCAGCCTGTATGTGACTCACAAGTAAAGACTCTCAGTGCCATATTTAGTTATATTTACATTGACATCTTGGCCTGCTAAACATTATGCAGCCTCACATAGAACCAGTACCATTTAACTACGCCTTCTGAGAGCAGATCACTGTAGAAATGGAATTGACAGGGCTGTGCCATGACCTGAAGGGAACAAGATTTAGCCTTTTTGGGGCAAAAGGGTTCATTCTTTGTAAACTGTCAAGAAAGCTAGAATTACTGATTGTATTTACCATTTTTATGGTGTAGAGCGGGGGACTTTAAGCCTGAGGATTTAGTGCCACATAGCAGCTGCTTTTGCCAGGGACTGTGCCGGTTAAAATTTAATTTTGGCCCTTGAAACAGGAAAAATCCACAGCTTTACCGAGGATTTAAACCTGAGTCCCCCACGTGAGAGTCTAACATTCTCAACCATTCGGCCAGCGGCTTCCCAGAACTTTCTGCCAGAGTTTACAGCCAGTGAATACTAAGAAGAAAAAAAAGATATGTGTGTGTATGCATGCACTTTGTGTATATGTGTGCCTGAACAGATGCATAAATGTGTGTGTGGGGTTATTTCCAGCAGGTTTCATGCTCTCAATGTATGACTTGTGTTTCAGAGAGCTGTAATCAACATTTCTGCTCATGACAACCCTCTAGCTGCAGTGGCGTTTAACCCACAAGGGACCAGGCTGGCGACTGCATCAGAGAAGGTTTGTACCTCATGAGATCATTCATTCATTATCCTGTTGTACCATTATCTATCACACCGAGTGACGAAAGGTTCTGGCAGATGCTCGAGGCTCAGAGGAAAGGCAAGACGGACGTTTAATCAGAATGCTACTGGCATCATTAGTATCGGAACTCTTCGCTGGCTGCTGAAGATGGGGACGGAGCGCTTATGGGAATGCCCCAAGTGCTGTGATGTCGGTTCTTGCATCAAATCAAATATCACACAGGGCAATCACTTTGATATCGTGGATTAAATCCAGTCAGTACCTTTGGCTTTTTTTTAATCAACATTGGTCTTAGGTTTCTCTTGGATGTCCTCAGTCCCTTTGTTTCCCATTTCAGCGCCTATTTTGTGATTATCTCTTCCCAGGATGTGTCTATCTTCTTTCTTATAACTGTTGATACAAGTGGTTGCCCACACATTTCCTTTATTTCTTTATTCCTGTTGAATTCATTTCGAGTTCATCATTTTTCCTAAGGCGCATGTTTTTTAATGCATTTAACTTTAGTTTTGTATCTTTATTGGTTCTCCGACTTTCACCAGCCTAAGGTAAAACTGAAATAACATTAGAATTGAAAATATGTAACTTCTAACGGTATTGTATAGTGCAGTCACACAGCTTTAGTATAAAATTGTATCTTGTCCGGGTAGGTAGTAACATTTTGCTGTCAAGGATCAGGAGCGTTGTAAAAAAAACTTGTTAGTTTCTGAACCAAGCCATAAATTATCACTTTCAGCCACATATTTTCAAGGAGGAAAAGAATAAACCCACTGATCCCTTAACAAGCATGTTGTAAAAGGTGACTAGGGGAGTTGACTCTTAGGGTGTTTCCTTTTGAGTCAGAGTGTGTCTGCCTGAGAGGAGAAGATCTAACTGCTGCATATCTGTAAAACTCAAGTTCTGGAGCAAAACCAAAGTCTAGAACAAACAGAACTTAAAAGACATTTTTAAAAACTGGGGTAGCTGTACATGAAGGGCAATAATTAGTAAACACAAACCGAGCAGAGAATTCTCAGTATTTATTCCTTTCAGAAAAATTTGTTTTAGAAATTACTAAAAGGGCATTTTTAAAATCCTAATAATCATTCATTAGCGGGAATTTATAGTAAGTATATGATGCATGGCCTGTCTACACACTGTGCACAGGTTACTAGTAACAAAGCTGTTAAACAGAGGAAGGGGCATCTGCCCAAATCTGTAATGCCAGGAAAAAATAAGAGAAGCTGCGAAACCTGGCATTTATTGGGCCATAGAATGTTGGATTTGGAGTCGAAATTACAGCACTCTGGACACTCCCATAACTGCTCAGTCCCCATCTTCAGCAGCAAAAAAAGAGTTCCAATTCTGATGGTACCAGTTTAATGGCCACAGTCATCCTAGAAATAGGCCTGACGTCTTCTCTCGAAGTCGGAGTACATCTGCTCGTGAGGCAGGGAACGGCAATAGTCAGTGAAACGGTTGTACACCCAAAACTCAGGTCCAGGTAAAAGCCAAAAGTTCAAACGGATGATTAACCGGGACCTTCAGCCGGTGAACGAAGAAGAAGAAGATGGTACCAGTAACCGTCTGATTGTATATCCGTCTCTTCCTTCCCCTGAGTGTTGAGCGTCGGCCAGATACCCTGGCAACTCCTGGCAGTGCCATTCTCCTTAGACTGTAATGATCTATCAGTAGCGCCTCCGCACTGTTCACTTGCTCCCAAAGGGCCATCACAATATCTAAATTGTCATACATCAATTCACCACCAAGTAGTGCAGAACCGGCCAGTCTATCTGCCTGCTCATTTCCAAACACCAGCATGACCTGGAGAAAATATCCAAAGGATGCTCACCCGGGACCTCTGAAGTGATGCTTGCCTCTCTGTACAAAGCATGCCTATGAGTCAGTTACATTCACGGCATGTGTGTACAGCTGATTCTCGCCAGCAGAAGGCTGCCTCAACCTCCATTCTCAAACTAGACGTTGTGATTTATGGGACCATAGTAACCAGCATTAGACTATGAAGAATTTGTAATTAATGTGTTATTTGTTCATGTTGAAATATCAATTATGCACTGCATTTAATACATTATTTTACACTTTATTTTAATTCTTTTAACATATTTATTTCTGCAGGGTACTGTAATTCGAGTGTTTAGCCTTCCAGACGGCGCAAAGTTGTTTGAGTTTCGCAGGGGTCTGAAAAGGTTGTATTGATTTTTTTAAATATTAATTTTTATGTTTACAAACTTCCTGTTTGGGTTCCATGGCCCTGTTATAGGGAAAACAAGAATAGACCCACTGCCTGCCCAAAAACATGTCATAAGAGTCAGCTAATTGGGAGTTAGCTTATTACAATACTTATATTTCTAAGGGTTTTCTCGTTATGTTTTTTTCCCCCGCCTGTGCCTAAAAGTCCCTTTTTATGACATGCTTGTCAGAATGGCAGTGTTTCTATTCTCTCTTCCCCCTTCCCTCCACCCAAATGGGGCTCGGAACACACACGGGCGGGTTCTGTGACTGAAAGTGATAATTCATGGCTTGATTTGGAAACTAGGATGAAACTTTCATGGCCACAATGCTCCAGATATCTGGCAGCAAAAAAGTTACTATTTATCTTGAAAAGTTGCAGTTATACCAAAGCTGATTTAACAGTATATAAATAAATAACAAAAGCAGTTTATATGTTACAGGACCATTTTAGATTCCCTCCTCAGTTAGAAAAAAAAAATGTATGATGTACAATAGGAAAGTCTTAGGTTTCTTTGTGTAGACCCTACATGTAATTGTAATGTTAATGCTTTTGTCTTGTTTCAGATGTGCAGATATTCAGTGTCTTGCATTTAGTGTCGACTCTGTCTTCCTCTGCACATGCAGCAATACAGAAACCGTGCATATTTTCAAACTGGAGGAACAGAAAGAAAAGTATGTGAGACTTAAGACTTGTTACTTGTGTTGTAGGTATTCTGCATTAGAGCCCACTAAAGAAAACTATGTTAGATACCATTTCACCATCCCTTGTGTGCCATTAGACATCACAAAGGGCTCGCATTCGATTCCTCCTCTCCGCTCTGTTGCATGTAACTTGATTTCTGTGTTGGAGTTCAGCCCAGCATGTTTAGCTTCTTGTAATAATGTTCTTTATTAAAAACAATTACAAGGTGAAGTTGATCCTCTCGACTTTAAACACTACATTTCACGTGGGAAAAAATACTAAGAAAATTAAATGTTATCAGTTAGAGAGTACTATGTTGGACATGATGTATTGAGCTGCGGACGATTTGTCTTGCATTGTTTTTGACAGTGGTACTGAGAGCTGACCGTTTAGAAAGCAATGGCAAACTGCTCGACATAAATTTGCCTAGAAAAACCACAACAGCCAAAAAATGCTGGGGTTGGTTCTGCAACATCCTGTAAATGATACACAGCGTTTAAGACTTGTGCAGGGAATAAATAAATTCCTTAAAAATTGCACTCATGAACTGAATGACGCAGCTGTGAAATGAACCCGTAACCTTCAGAGCATGAAGCAGATGGCTTAACCACTTTATCCTGGTGACCTTCTAAGAGAGAATGAGCTAAAAGAATCTGGCACCTGTGACTGCGGAGAGGACAGACCAGCCCTCAAACCTGTGCTGCAGTATTGCTTTATCTACTCTGGAAGAGGTTAGAGGTCTGGCCCAAGAGATTTCCATTGCGAGAAAAGTTGTTGGGGACTGGCAGCAACCTTCATTCTACCATCCTCTCTGTGACCCAGGGGAGACTGAATCTTTAGCGTGGCTGATGTTGATGGCAGAAGAAGAAAAGCAGGAAACCAACACATTTTGCAGCTGCTCTTCTTTGCTTTCATCGGCTGTAAGCCCAGGGTGGAAAGTTCTGGTTGTTGTCCATTTTATAGAATTTAGTCTTGTTCCATAACTTCACTTTTGCATACACATTCATTTTACAGATCTAGCTTATTTGTATGCAGACTGTTGGTTCCTCACTTCTCAAGCAGATGCACTCTGACTTTGAAGGAAACACCCCTAATTAGTCGGCTCTTACAACATGCTTGTTAGGAAGGCAGTGGGCATTTCCTTTTTCCTCCTACAATATGGGTGATTTTTCATACTCACTTGAGGAAGCTAAGTCTTGTTTTGTCTTCACAGACCCCAGGAAGACACATCTTGGATGGGTATTTTAAACAGCACATTTAGAACGTCTGCCAGTTACCTCCCTGCTGGCATCTCTGATGTCATGAACCAGGGTCGTTCATTTGCCACTGCTCGACTGCCGCACGCAGGCCTCAAGAGTGTTTGCACAATCACTCCGTAAGTTGAGATTTATTTAATTAGATTGAATGTAAAGTTATTTTATACAACGAGAACCACCCTTTTCCTTCTTCTTTCAAACATCACTGCATCTGTGAGTATGTTGTGGATTATCGATTTTCAAATCAGAAATCAGTAACCTTGTTGGTTTGCAACCATTTCAGACATCACTGGGTTACAGAGACCTTTTTTCACATTTTGAGGTGTTAGGCACTTTTTGCATGCTCCATATGGCTCTCGGTGAGGGATGTGATCACTGTCTGCTAGCAGCCTTTACTTACCCAGAATATTTCCGCCTCCTTATTTAAGCTGACTTGACAGGTCAGTTAAATTAATAGAACTTAAAAAAAAAATCTTTTCTCCTCCTTGCCAATAAAAGCGGATATTTTTCTTTGCATTCACTGACTGTAACTCTGGCGGAAAGTTCTGGTTGTTCGTTCACTTCTGGACTCTAGTCCTGTTCCAGTAACTGAGTGTTGCGTGCACATCTGTTTCACAGGTCTGACTCATTTGTATGCAGACTGTTGGTGCCTTGCCTCTCAGGCAGATGTACTCCAACTTCGAAGGAAGCTCCCAATTAGTCAACTCTTATGACATGCTCTTGGGCAGGCAGGGGGTGTATTCTTGTTTTTACCTACAATGGGGCCCAGGAACCCACACGGGGAAAAGTGGATATTTAAACACATAACAACATTCCTGCAGGCAAGAATGCTATCTATTGCTCTACCACAGCTCCCTTGGTGAGCCAGAGATATTAAAATAAGCGTACAGAAGACAGGAGGATCTTTCACAGAGCTGCACCTGTTGGCAACAGGATTTAGTTGTGGGCCTATGCTTCATTGGAGTAAAAAGGCAGAAATAAAAATTTTCAGAACCACCAGTTAATCAAACCCATGTTATTTAGGGGGAGCAAGAGTAGATTCACTGCCCTCATAAGAGGCATGCCCTAAAAGATAACTAATTAGGGAGGTTTCTCTGAAAGTCAGAGTGTATCTGCCTGAGAGGTGAGGAACCAACAGTCTGCATACAGATAAGCCACATCTTTCAAATGGATGTGCCTGCAAAAGGGCGGGGTAGGGGATGAACAACCAGAACTTTCCACTGGAGTTTACAGGCAGCCAACGCTAAGAAGAAGAAGAGTTAGTTAATCACAGTTACAACTTCACAGCAGATGGGAACCCCATAATTGCTCCGTTTTCTTACCCCAGGAACACTTGGAAATGCTGAAAATTTATTTAAAACAACACTTTTACACTATTCTCTGATAAATGCATGAACACTTTATTTGTCTACATGAACAATCTTTTTGGGTTCTAAGTTATATGAAAGGAGGGATCAATAAACATGAACAGAGTGGAGCATTAAGTGGAACCTAAACAAAACATGAGCCATACCGTGACTTCTGTCACTGAGGCTTACAGAACAATTTGACATCAAAACTTGGCTATAAATTAGCTATTTGACTCGAAGGACCTCCACCCTCCCCATGTGCTATTGTTAGCTAATGTCTTCATAAACTGACCTCCTAAAAATTGGCACAGGCACGAACTCAGCCACCCGTGAATCTCATTAGCAGGTTATTATAGACTAGTTGGAAAATTGACATTTAGTGGGAGCTGCACCAAACTACTTAGATGTCTCCCTTCCAGCAAAACAGCAAATGATTCATAGCATCTTTATCCCTACTTTATGTTATCAGTGCCAAACATGGACAGTGAATAGGACACTAGAACAGAAAGTAACTACATGTGAAATTCACTGACTCCGCAAGGTCACTGACAGCACTAGACAAGACAGGGTTACGAATACCAGCATTAGAGAGAAAGTTGGAATAAGACCATGTCCGGATTATATTGACAGACAAAGAATGAAATGGTTCAGCCATCTAGTGAGAATACAGCCAGACCAGACTGCATCTGAGATTTTTTACAGTAGAACATCTGGGAGGAAGGCAAGAAGAAGACCAAGAAAGAGATGGATAAATGGTGAAGATAAGCCTGTAAAAAAGATGAACAAATCCATCACTGAAGCCACCTGAGAAGCACAAGACAAATACAGAAAACCACGACACTGGCTACAACCTGATATCAGTGAGACGACAAAACCACGACACTGGTCTACAACCTGGTATCAGTGAGACGACAAAACCACGACACTGGTCTACAACCTGATATCAGTGAGACGACAAAACCACGACACTGGCTACAACCTGGTATCAGTGAGACGACAAAACCACGACACTGGTCTACAACCTGGTATCAGTGAGACGACAAAACCACGACACTGGTCTACAACCTGGTATCAGTGAGACGACAAAACCACGACACTGGTCTACAACCTGATATCAGTGAGACGACAAAACCACGACACTGGTCTACAACCTGATATCAGTGAGACGACAAAACCACGACACTGGTCTACAACCTGATATCAGTGAGACGACAAAACCACCACACTGGTCTACAACCTGATATCAGTGAGACGACAAAACCACGACACTGGTCTACAACCTGATATCAGTGAGACGACAAAAGAAGAAGGAGGACCTAATGGGAGTTGTTGATTTTGCAGCTTCTCAGAGCAAAAGGGGTAATGAGACAATCCATTCGGTGTATCTGAAAAATCGGATCGAACTAATTCCGACCAAATCACTGTTCGCTCGATTCAGTTATTGAAAAAAATGTCTTATGTCATATAAATAGGCTTTTAAATATTTAAATTTACTGTGTAAAGAGATACTTGTGCTAATTATGCTGGTTTATTGTTGACATTAGTATTTTTTTAGAGCAACAACTACTTTGCTGAACGAACAAACTTTATTTTCAAATGGTTACAAATTGGGCACGCAGGCCCGTCTGACATTCGGCCCTTTTAAGCACTCGTTTTTCAGAGTACCAATGCCTGTTATCTAAAATGCATGTTATGGATATAGAATAAAAATATACATTATAGAATATAATACATACAACATGTGTACACAGTCTTACACACTCTCCCATTCTCATATATGCACACTCATCCTGACATACCTAGCACATACATCCATCCATCCATACATACAAACATACATAAACGCATCTACATATATACACAAACAGAAAAGACACACACATACATATATGGACATAAATGCACACACACATTCCATACATACACACCTATACATGCATGCATACACATACAATCACATGTACAGACACCCACAACCACACATTTACACTCACATGTAAGCATACATACATACATACATACACACATCAATACATACACCTACATCTTTACACACATACATGCTTACATACCTAAATACACACATGTACACCCACATACTTATACATCTACAAATGCATACACACATCCACAAACATGCATACATACACACACCCACATACATGCCGACACACATTACATACATACTCACACATGCATGCATACACACATATATTATCACCCATACAGATACTCACATACATACATACACTCATGCATACACACATACTTGCCTACATTATGTACACACATACCCACAATCACAGATACACTCACATACAGTCACACATACTTACAACATATATACATAAATACACACACATACAAACTTAAATATACATTCATATATCCACATGCATGCATACACACATACACCCACAATCACACACACACCCAGATAATACATACATATATACACACATATAGATACTTTTATACATACATACACATACATAATACATACCCACATACTTACATACATGCATACTTGCATACATTCATAAAAACACACATCAATATACATACACAGCTACATGCATGAATACCCATACACCCATATACTTACACAGCTACATTTACAAAGAAACACTCTCATACATATACAGACATACATAATACATGCACCTACATACATATATGCACACATACATACATTCACATGTATACATACATGGACAAAATGTACATGCATACACACATCCATACATACACTCACATACTTAACTTAATATAATGTTAGTGATATTTTCAGTTACAAAAATATGCCATTAAATCAATTCCCCCCAATTTTTATTTTTATTTGTAGGTTAAGCAGGAACAAAGATAAGTAAGTATGATAACTAGGTTTTACTATTTATATTTTTCTTGACCAGCTGTAGCTGTTCAGTCTGATTGCCCCACAGTTGCTATAACAAATGGGTCATAAACCTGTGGGACACAACAGAAAATCATTTTGAAAACAACCATGTTACACAGGTCACAAAATAAAAACATTATTTATCTACATGTAAAAAATGTGTTGGTTGGTTGGGGAAAGGGGGGGGGGGGGGAGAAAAAAAAAGGGGGGGGGGGGTTTATAAAGATGAATTCAATAAACACAAACAAATTAAAGCATTAAATGGAATACATTCCCTAGGGCTTAAAAAATATATAGTTCAGGTGACTCATGCCTGACCTCATGACCTCTATCATTGAGGCTTATGGGAAAAACTTGACACCAACCTGGGTTTAAAAAAGCCATTGGGGTCATAAGGCAACACTGTAAACAATATTTTTTTAGTTAAACTGTATTCAAATCGGAGACTATTAAACACTGCGTAGATGCACATAGTACTAAAAGAATGTAACTACACTTTTTTGAGGACACATCACAGCAGACATGGAAGTGCATCAGCATTTGCGGTGACTGTGTCACCAACAGAAATGGCTAAATTCAGTCTTCTCAGGGCGAAGATCAAAAGATGTGATCGTCTTAGCAGTTTATATCTTTCGTTGTCTGTGCCTGATGTAAATTATTGTAGAGTTCACCCACGTTATGTAGTTGGAACTGTGTAACATATTCTTATTTCCAGTTTGCAGAAGATTCCGAGACTTTTGGTGGCAACCTTGGAAGGCCATCTGTATATTTACAATATTGACCCTAATGAAGGCGGAGAGTGTACTTTGTTGAGAACACATTCGTAAGTAGTTAAACAAAATATTTTTAAATTTAAAGGTTATTCGCATTTTCTCGGATCATCATCATCATCAGGTGCCTTGCTGACTGGTGTGGGCGATCATGCCTCTCCACAATCTGCGATCTTCTGCAGCATGCATTAGTTTGTGTGCTGGCACACCTCCATGCCGTGCAACAAGACTGTCAAGAATCTTCTCTCGTTGTCTTCCTCTATCCCTCCTTCTACAGATTTTTCCAGTGGTCACATGTTCCATTTTCCCTCTTTTCATAACATGATAGAAAAATGATGACTGTCTCCTTCTGATGTCTGTGATTAGTTGTCTTTTCAGAAACTCATTACATTTAAAAAGAAGCCTGTCACCTCCATGGGAGCTGACGTGGTGTAGCGGGAGCTGACGTGGTGTAGCGGCTAGATGCTAGCCTGCAGATCCAAAGGTCATGGGTTGAGATCTGAACTGAGCCTTTCACAAATCACCCTGGCTGCCAGGTGGACCCAGCCATAAATCAGTACCAGGTAAAGTTGTGAGAAGCAAAGGCAGTTGGTGTGGGATTGATCACATCACACGCTGAGTGCCGATTGGGCTATAAACATTGGTCTTGCATTGTATGCCCAGTACATCTGAAGGCGGGGAAAAAGGGGGTCCTTTTACTTCACTGTCACTTCCATGTGTTCTGGGTCCTATTAAGTATGGACTGCGCTTTGAAAAATGATAGGATGTTGTTGGAGGACTCCTGGACTCTGATGGCTTCCCCACACAAGCAGGTTGGTCTCTGGCAGCTCAAAGAGCAAATGTTTTAACTGCTTCCAGAATCTGGGCCTTGGACAAAAGGGGATTACAAAAGAGTAGAATGCTCATGTAGCGTTTCCAGAAGAGAGAGGTCCTATATAAACTTATACAGTGCATCAGACAGAGTACACAGACAATCCTTTAAAAAAAAGTAAAGTAAAGGACCCTTTTCCACGCCTTTGGGCATATAGGGCTAGACCTATATTTTTATAGACCAATCGGCACAAGATGGGTGATGTGGTCAGCATCACGCTGGCTGATTTTACTTCCCGGGACTGCATCCGGTACACATCAAGGCTGGGAGTCAAAATCATTTTTGAAAAAAGTCCAGCTCCGCCAGGGAGCAAACCCATGACCTTCTGATCCACACGCGAATGTCTAGCCGCTACGCCATGCTGACTCCCACAGACAATCCTTACATTTCCTCCAACACTTCGCTGAGGTAACTGCAGGGAGAACAGAAGAAATCTCTGAACAGAAATAACCAGAAATACTGCAATTTTTGTGCAAAGTGTTAGATGTTTTAAACATTCAGGTTTGGAAGGTAAATATTGTTTCTTATACACTTCTGTGCTGGTTTTGCGACTTTCGGGAGTTGTTTGGTATATAACATTTGGCAGTTGTTGCTGCTACTTTTAATAGCTTTGATACTGTTTGTGATGTGTAGTAGTGTTTAGAATAAGCCATATATTATTTTATTTACTAAAAAAGCTTTTCCTAGATTTTGTTTTGGTGGAAAAAATTTCCCTTTTAGTCATTTTGGTGTTATTGTGACATCACTGTGATGTGCCACATAGTTGTGTCCAAATTGTTTTTGTTGGCCATTAGGATGAATGCAGTTAATTTTTCTGTTCTGTTTGTGTTTATTGATTACTTTGTTATGTAGTGCTTTCCTGGTTGTCCTGATTCAGCAGTATCTTCTTAAGGACTGGATGTTTCCCACCTGGTTTACAATTACTTACAGGGTGTAGCTTCAGGGGTGCTGGGTTTGATCCCAGCTGCTGACTGTTTCTCTTGCTTTGGTTTTGACCGACAGTGGTAAAAAAAGCTGACCATTCAGCAAGCATTGGCAAACTACCAAGCGTAAAATTTATCTAGAAAAACCACAACAGCCAAAAGACACTGGGGTTGGTTCTGCAATGTAATGTAAAGGATACGCAACTAACTTTTTAACAGGGTGTGTAGAAATGTAGTGACACCATAATTAGAGCCACAAACTTGAGTGAGTTAAAGTTCTTTCCAGTCAGTGACAGATGTGAACAGTGTGTCATAGCAGTTCTAATATGTATTCATGAAGAATTGCATAATCTAACATACAGACCATCAGTTGAATCAGTCTGTCTATACATCTGATCTTTTCCTTCGTCTTTAGCTTTAGTACAGGGCACTTAACCTTTTGAATACTTTGTCCTGAGAGCTGAGTCCCCATATCAAAGTGTTTTTCTCACTCAGAGAAGCAGTTGAAATTTTTCCTATCTTTGAATTTGCATGTGTACTTGTGTGTGTGCATGCTGATGTGCCATTTGCTCCCTCTGGGCTACTTCCTAAAGATTTGACACACAGATATAAAGAATCTCAGTCTGAATGGCAGACCATCAGGGAAAATGTCAGATTCAGTCTCCAAAGAGGTTATAATTGAGGCACCAGTGTTGAATATTGAATTAATAATCAACATCATAGCACTCGAGACACTCCCATAAGAGCTCCATCCCCAACTTCAGCAGCAAGCGAAGAGTTCCAATTCGAATGGTACCAGTAACTGTCTGATTCTACGTCCGTCTCACCCTTCCATTGAGTTTTGAGAACCAAATAATGACTAACCAGCCTGATATATATAACCTGCAGTCCTGTGAGGGTAAAGAGAGCGGTGATTGAGAATTTTCAACCTTCTTCTGGTTGAGACCATGGTGACATGGTGACATGGCGATATGGCTCAGACTGATACTTTCTGGTTTCATAAAGAAGAATATATTAAAACTGAAGCATTTAAAATGCTTGTTTATTTGTTTACAAAACAGCTTGACTGGCCAGGCATCAGAGCACACAGGATCCGCTGAGGAAGGTGGCAGTGATCGACCTCTGACACAATCTGATGATGCTTCACCCTACGTGAGGCGACACCATTCACTGTCAGCAGAGACGGCAGCTCCAACAGGTAAGTGCTGCCTCCCACTGGCTGCTCATCCAGTTGAGAGAAAAACAACTGTGGTCTTCTTCTTCACGTTCACCGGCTGTAAACTCTTGCGAAAAGTTCTGGTTGTTTGTCCACTTCTGGACATTAGTCTTGTTCTAGAACTTGAATTTTGTGTGCACGTCCATTTGACAGATCTGGCTTGTTTGTAAGCAGACTGTTGGTTCCTCACTTTTGAGGCAGATGCACTCTAACTTTGAAAGAAACACCCCCACAGCTGACTTTTACAGTATGCTTGTTGGGGGGGGGGGGGGGGACAATGGGCCTGTTATTGTCTCCACTAAATGAGGCCATGGAATCTACACAGGGACAGCAGTGGTTGATGTGCAAGATAAACTCCAGGTGCATAGTATCAAGTATCAGTATCCCTGCACATGAACAGGCCCCTAAGTTCTCAGTCTCTCTACTAGTCCACTCATTTGCTCACCTTGTTGACAGAACAACAACAATGATTCTTTAGCAGAGATACTGACAGAGAAATAAATTTTAAGTGCTCATGAATTATGATGAAGTATTAGTTTTATTGCACACTAGACAAGCTCCAAGTTTTCAGTCTCTCCCATTAGTTCTCTCTGGGCACTATCTGGTAGTAGTTCTGATACATGGATGGAGCATCTGATCTGTTGTCTCTTGATGTAGTTTAGTACTGATTCCATCTCAGCTTCATTCCTGGTATCGTCATTTCTGATCCTATCTTTCCTAGTTACATTTAGGATTCGTCGTAGACATTATTCACTTTTTTCTTTTGTTAGTGTCCACATTTAACACTAGCAACACAATATTCTAAATATTATAAATTCAGGGGGAACTGTTTTGTTCTCAGGACACACAGAGGAAAATTCTCCCCGCAGTGAAGGAGTGCCCTGATGCTGTCGAAAGAAGCAGATAGGGCACTGATAGAATGGGAAGCTGTGAGTCCCAAAATAATAAGAGCATCTTTTAGAACAGCTAAACAGAAGGTGAATATGTTGGTAATGCAGTGTTACGCACCAACAAATGATAAAGATGCATCTGTTAAGGAAGAATTTTACATGCAGCTTCAAAATATTATAAATAATGAAAGAAAGGGCAAAATAAATATTGTGATGGTTGACCTGAATGTCAAGATAGGATCAGATAACACAGGTTGTGAAGAGATTATGGGAAAACATGAATTAGGAGTAATGAATAAAAATGGAGAATTATTCACCAATTTGTGTGCATTAATGCAGTATGTTATTGGCGGAAGCATCTTCCCACATAAAATTAAACACATGGCAACATGGGAATCATCAGACCATAAGACAACTAATCAAATAGATCACAGATGTGTAAACAAAAAATTAGTTCATCCCTTTATGATGTTAGGGCTTTCAGGGGTGCTGATAAATTTACAGACCATTTTCTGTTGATAAGTAAAATCAAGTTGAAACTTAAAAGATACATAACATCCTATAATCACAGAAACCAGAATAATGTAGGTTATCTAAGGGATAAAGTAGTTAACAAACAATTTTCAGTTACAATCTCTTATATATACCAGGTGTTGCAGCAGTTAGCTGAAGATGTAAGCACTGAAGTTGGAATCAGATCAAGTGAATTTGAATGAATCTTGTGTAGAAGTTCTTGGTAAGAAAAAAAAAACATAAAGTGTAGATAACATCAGAAACCCTTAAAATGAATGAAGATAGGAAAAGTAAAAAGGCAGATTTAAACAATAGCAAAACTAGAGCTGCTAAAGCTAGAGCTCAGAAAATACCCAGAAGCTAATGAGAAAGTTAGGAGGTGAGTAAGGGCAGATAAATGGAAATATTTAGACGACCTAGCACAAGAAGCCGAGACAGTAGAAAAAAAGTAAGCTTGGAGACCTTTACAGTAACACAAGGAAATTAGTAGGTAAATATAGTCAGCCAACTAGATCAATCAAAAATAGTCAAAGAGAGGTACTCACCAACTAATGATCAAATGGACAGATAGGCTGAATATTTTGGAATATTTGTGAAAACTATCGAGGAATTATGTTGCTGTGTGTTCCTGGAAAATTACTCAATACAATTGTTTTAGAAAGACTAAAAGATGCTTTTGATAAAAAGCTAAGTGATGAACAGGCAGGTTTTTGGCCAAATAAATCCTGTACTGACCAGATAGCCAAATGACATATAATAATAGTGCAAAGCATTGAAATTAATTCACCACTTTACATTGGATTCATAGATTATGAAAAAGTATTTGACAGCGTTGACAGGGAATATCTCTGGAAATTAATGGGGCAGTGTGGAATCCCACAGAAAATTATCAACTTAGTAAAGGCAACATATAAAGACATGAAATGTCGAGTTCTTCATGAGGGAAAGCTGACAGATACATTTGAAATAAAAACAGGTGTGCAGCAGAGATGTCTTTGGTCGCCTCTCCTATTTTCACTGGCTATAGACTGGATTATGAAGGCAGTAACTACTAACACCAAGAATGGAATTGAACTTCGCTTTTCCGTCCATTTCCTGGTATCGGATGCAAGATAAATTAAATATACTTGATGTGAGATCACAGCAGCTAGGTCTGAAAATTCATAAAGGAAAGACAAAGATAATGAGAATAAATCAGGCAAATAGCAATGTGGTTTCTCCTAATGGTATCCCACTCCAAGACGTGGAATCTGTACCTATTTGGGCATCAATGTAGATAAAGATGGGGGAACTGATAGAGATATTAAAATATGAATACAAAAGGCAAGAGGAACTTTTATAGCTCTAGGGAATTTGAGGAGGTCAAAAGAAATTAAAAGAAGTACTAAACTTAAAATTGTTTATTCTAATGTCAAATCAGTACTATTGTATGGGGCGGAAACATGGAGAACAACCAAGCCAGTTCCTAATAAATTGCAGACATTCATTAACTGGTGCCTGCGCAGAATAGAGGGAATAAAATGGTATCATAGAATAACTAATGTAGAGCTTTTGGAGAGAACTAAGCAAGTTTCATTGGACCAAGAGGTGAAGAAAAGATGCTGGCGTTGGATAGGACACACATTGAGAAAACTGGAGAACAATATAATTAGAATGTCTTTGCACTGTAACCAACAGGGGCAAAGGAATAAAGGAAGACCAAAAAAACACATGGAGAAGGGAGCTAGAGAGTATAGTTAAAAAGAGGGGAGGACATGAGAGCTGCAAAGGATAGAATGACTTGGCATGAGTTGGTTGAGGGCCTATGCTCTGTTGGGGGCTAGAAAGACAGAAGAAGAAGAAGAAAACAGTATTGGTAAAAATACTGTAAGGTGATGAAAGCAGGTTGATATCTGGAGGTCAGTCCATTATCCACTATCTGTGGCCGGTGTGGAAAATGTTCATCCCCACTTACCCCTCCCATACACCACCCTCTACTGTGGTTCTCCAAAAATATAACTGGGTCTTATAATAGTTTTTGCTTAAAAATGCATGAGAGCATTTTTGGGGATATCTTATTTAAAAAAAAAATGCAAATATCTACTGGTATTCGTGGACACAATTCTACTTATGGTATTATTCCCTTAAGTCTACCATTAAATCAAGTGTTAATTGAATATGAGACAGGTGTGATAACAAAAAATATGAGATTTGATAACGATGGAACACAAAAAAGCAACTAGAAATTGCTGGTGTCAAAATTAATTATTTTTTAGTCTTAATTTCACATGAGTGGTGTACCTTGAACTAGGAACCACATCTGTTCATTATCAAGTGCACATCAATGGCGTCTGTACTGCGACTGGCCATTCTGCAATAAGTCTCTTATACTGTCTGCACCACTGAGTGGTGAATTGATAAATGACAAGGCAGATGTGGTCAAGGCCCTTTGGGAACAAGCAACGGAATCAGTAGAGAAACAAAATTTTTATGACCAGGAGAGAATGAGGCACCTGGGTGTAACCAGAGGGTCTGGCCGGCTCACTACACTCAAACGAAAGGCAAGACGGACATATAACCAGATTGTGACTGATAGCATCAGTATTGGAACTCTGCGCTGGCTGCTGAAGATGAGGACGGAGTACACATGGGAATACCCCAAGTGTGGTGATGTCAATTCTGGACTCAACTCAACTTAACTAGGGCTTGGGGGGGGGGGGGGGGGGGTATTTTTTTCTGGGGTAGTTAAAATTGTTTTTTTTCCCATTGCAGACTCACAACCTTACCAGGATCCGCTGGATGGAGCAGTTGGGGGTGAGGAACCTTTAAGGACACTGCGGATCCATGATGATACTGAGTTCCCTCCAGTGTCACCCAAGTTGATGTAGTTCAAGAGTTAATCTTGCACTGATGAGTTCTATTCAGTTCTGAAGTCATCTTGAGGAACTCTTCTGTTGCTAGAAACAAATACAATACTTTCAGGAATCTATACATGTTTTTCTCCTTAATTTGATGAGAAATGTTTTAAAACTGACTCTTTAAAAAATCGTAGATGTTTTTGCTTTATGATGTACTTGATCAGTGAAGCTGCAGTGTCAGTGATGTGTAAGCCTAAAATGTATTTGATTTACTTGTCTGAGCTGTAAGTGATTTATGAAATCTTTGATGAAATGAGTTTATGAAACCTCAGATGTATTTAAATTTTAAGTTTGTAATATTATTACACAAAGGACTCAAAAACAGTGGCAGGCACAGTACCAGGAAATGATTTCACAGAGCATCAAAAAATCAAATGATTTGGTCATCTGGTCAGAATGGTACAAAATCAGCCAGCATCGGGAGCGTACTACATGAGAACAACAGGCAACAAGGCAAGAGGCTGACCAAGAAAGAGATGGGTGGAATAGAAGAGATACTACAGAAACACAGCATTACATTAACACAATATCATGGAAAGATATAAAACTGAACGAAAAGTAGATTAGCGAGATTCACAGGATTATCAACGACAATAAACTACATCTAACTTGTCTCTGCAAGGCTTCACAGCGTAAACATTAGGACAAAAGAAGAAGAAGTTTATTACACAAGGTTGATGGCTACTAACTTGTATCTTTATCATTTTTGTTATGCCCTTGGTCATGAGAAATTATATATGCCTGCAGTGAACATGCTGTGTGAAAGGCTTACAGCAAAATGTTAATATATACAAAGGTATAAGAGTCATTGTTTACTGAAGATAATTCATCAATATGTTTTCTGTTAAAAATGTTTGCTGTCATCATCATCATCATCAACACCACCACCATAACCCTCATCATAGGGATGCTAGTTAAGATTTATATTATGGGTTTTTACTTACGAAATCATGACAGCTAGATAAAGATTAAAATTACAAATCCAATGGTACCTCATTTAAGCCTATAAGTTGATTCTAAGCGGAGATATTAACAATTTAGTGGCGGATACCACCACAAACAAATTATAGTGGAAATGGACAAAACATGGATTCCCGGCTGCGACCCAGTAAGATGAAATGACTCAATGTTTGCATTTTACGCCCCCCCCCCCCCACCCCCAGTAATGATACAGGGGTGGCCGCACCAGTCCAAGTACTGGCAGGCCTGATGGACGGGAATGCGGTCAGTGCTGCTGTTGTTTCTCGACCACTTAGATTTACCAATTCCGACAGAAAATTTCATGGATTCTAAATAATAGATGCATTAAAGAAATGCTACAAGAGTTGTAAATGTTTAAAAAGTAGCTCACTTAACATTATTAATTTACTATGTATCTGAAGTTAATTACTAAAGAATCATCTTAGAAAATGCGCAATGATGGCCGAAATTAATTATTGGGATTTGGGGGTGATCAGGAAAAAATATCTCCAACAGAAAATACGCAGAGCTCTAAATAAAGACAGATGCATGAAACAATGCTACAATGGTTGTGGATTTTTAAAAAATGATTAAAATAACGTTAGCTAATTTAATAATTATTTGAAGTTAATTATAAAGCGGGACAAACAGCCTCCTAGTGCAAACATATTGGATTTAAAGCAAAAACAGTGATGCCACAAAAAATTTTTTTTTTTAAATTTGCAATCAGCCAATCTTTGAAATTTCCCATACTTATATAAAAATTAACGCAGAATTAAAAAATACACCACAAATTGCGGTAGTCTGGCTAATTAAGAAGATATTTATGAAATTACTTACCGTTAATTCACTGCGTGCTGCCAAAAAAATCAATTTATTGTATACGCATCAAAACCATCTCAAGTCTAAGCCTAGTAGCATCTCTCCAACAACTCCTAATAATTTTTCAGATTTTATCTTCTATGTAAAGAGCACGGAAAAATAGGTTCTCAATAACGATCAATTCGGTCTGGTGTTTTGGGTCGCCAAGGCGTCCCTAGTTACGGATGAAAATGTAAAGCGAAATAAACGAAACAAAACAACCCATTGCTGTACCTACTCATCACCACCACCATCATCTTCACCACCAGCATCATTATCCTGTTGCAATGTTATATGTCACTTAAATTGTCCATTCTGTTCTGTCCTATGCTATCTTTTCAATATGGATAAATCCAGTCCAGCACCTTTGGTCTCTCTCAACAACATTCATCTTAGGGTTTCTCGTAGGGTGTGTCATCATTTCCTTAAACCATTTGTTTCCTATTTCAGCACCTGTTTAGTGATCCTCAGTTCCCTTCTCCTCGGTTCCCTTCTCGTCGGTTCCCTTCTCGTCGGTTCCCTTCTCGTCGGTTCCCTTCTCCTCGGTTCCCTTCTCCTCGGTTCCCTTCTCCTCGGTTCCCTTCTCCTCAGTTCCCTTCTCCTCGGTTCCCTTCTCCTCAGTTCCCTTCTCGTCGGTTCCCTTCTCGTCGGTTCCCTTCTCCTCAGTTCCCTTCTCCTCAGTTCCCTTCTCCTCGGTTCCCTTCTCCTCAGTTCCCTTCTCGTCGGTTCCCTTCTCCTCGGTTCCCTTCTCCTCAGTTCCCTTCTCCTCGGTTCCCTTCTCGTCAGTTCCCTTCTCCTCGGTTCCCTTCTCGTCGGTTCCCTTCTCCTCATGATGTGATCCAGCCATTGCTGTCTTGATTTTATTATAAAGTCCTGGGAAGTAAAGGTGGCTGGTGCGATGTTGACCACATCACCTATTGAGAGCAGATTGACCCATCAAGGGTAGATTGACCCATCAAGGGCAGATTGACCCATCGAGGGCAGATTGACCCATTAAGGGCAGATTGACCCATTAAGGGCAGATTGACCCATCGAGGGCAGACTGACCCATTGAGGGCAGATTGACCCATCGAGGGCAGATTGACCCATTAAGGGCAGATTGACCCATTAAGGGCAGATTGACCCATCGAGGGCAGATTGACCCATCGAGGGCAGACTGACCCATTGAGGGCAGATTGACCCATCGAGGGCAGATTGACCCATTAAGGGCAGATTGACCCATCGAGGGCAGATTGACCCATCGAGGGCAGATTGACCCATCGAGGGCAGATTGACCCATCGAGGGCAGATTAGTCTATACAAATTCAAGTCTAGCATCACATGCCAAGGGGACCACTGTCTTGGAAAAAATGGCCCTTTACCTGACACCTGTATTATTGTTGAGGAGGTGGGCGACTGAGAGATATGGCTTCCGTCTCTGGGTGAACAGGTATCTGGCTTCCGTCTCTGGGTGAACAGGTATCTGGCTTCCGTCTCTGGGTGAACAGGTATCTGGCTTCCGTCTCTGGGTGAACAGGTATCTGGCTTCCGTCTCTGGGTGAACACAGTATCTGGCTTCCGTCTCTGGGTGAACAGGTATCTGGCTTCCGTCTCTGGGTGAACAGGTATCTGGCTTCCGTCTCTGGGTGAACAGGTATCTGGCTTCCGTCTCTGGGTGAACAGGTATCTGGCTTCCGTCTCTGGGTGAACAGGTATCTGGCTTCCGTCTCTGGGTGAACAGGTATCTGGCTTCCGTCTCTGGGTGAACAGGTATCTGGCTTCCGTCTCTGGGTGAACAGGTATCTGGCTTCCGTCTCTGGGTGAACAGGTATCTGGCTTCCGTCTCTGGGTGAACAGGTATCTGGGTTCCGTCTCTGGGTGAACAGGTATCTGGCTCGTATCCTGGGGGATAAGCATTTTTAGAAAATTATATCTGGCCCTGTCACGTGCCAAAGTGGCCACTAACCTTAGAACATGTACAGTAGATAATGCCAGCTGTTTGTGGCAACTTGAGACTGAGGTACCTGTATTGATGTCTTCTGGTTAGATTCATGGAGGCAACTTTTTAAAACTGCTGAGTATAGAAAATTGATCAAAGAAAACTTAGTTTTCCAACTGAGGGGCAGTTAAAAGAAAGAACTTGGGTTGTTATAATCCAGATCATGAGGTAGTGGATTAGATATCTAACCTGCTCAGATAAGGGTGAGAAAAATTAGTTTATATGTGTGTTTGTATACATTATCAGTAAATCAATACACTTTTGGAAATCGTTTAAAACCAGCCTATGCCAGTACTAAATTTGAAAAATTATAAAACCAACCACAATAGAATATTTTATAGTATTCTGTTAGACGCCAACTAAATGTCTCATCTCTAGAAACACTGTAATGCTTAACTTGTGTGCATGTATAAAACACTGAAGTGGATGTATAAAACACCAGAATGCATGTATAACTCTCTGGTGTGCATGTATAAATCACTGAAGTGCATGTATAAATCACTGGAATGCAGACATAAATTACGAAAATTAGTATATAAATCACAGGTTAGGTTAGTTTCGTATCCTTTACAGGACGTTGCAGAACCGATCCTAACAGCCCCTGGCTGTTGTGTGGTTTTTCTAGGCAAATTTACGTCCAGTAGTTTGCCATTGCTTTCTGGACGGTCGGCTTTCTTGATACCACTGTCGAAACCAACGCAAGGCGCATGGCCCGCAGCTGGGATCAAACCCGGCATCCCGGCATTACGAAGCGTTCGCAACTACTTAGCCACAGAACCGACAAATCACTGAATTGCACTGGTATGCATGTATAAAACACAGAAATGCATGCGTAAATCTCTGGTATGCATGTATAAATCACTGGAGTGCATGTGTAAATCACTGGTGTGCTTGAATAAATCTCTGATGAGAAATGTAATTAATTGTTTTAGTGGTCAACTTGTAAAACATGTCATTGTTTTAGTGGTCAACTTGTGAAACATGTCATTGTTTTAGTGATCAGCTTGTGAAACATGTCATTGTTTTAGTGGTCAGCCTGGTATGAGAGTTAGTCAACTTAGTGAGATGTGTAATTGTGTTATTTTTTCAACTTGGTGAGAAAAGTAATTGTGTTATTTTTTTCAACTTGATGCAAGCTGGTCAACTTGATGAGAGAAGTAATTATTTTGTT